AACATTGTATGAAAATACATGATCAGTGGAGTTCATTAACGCTGATTGTAAGAGTAATCCAGACTCTTTATAAAACCGTTTTACCCTTAGCCATAATCGCAACAGGAATCGTAAGTCTATTTACTAGACCCAGAAATTAACGTACATTTTATTTCCTTAATTGCTTTAAATTATATTATACTAGCTTTCCGCCAGCGGCTTCGCCCGCGTGTCCGCACTCCCCTCCCGCACGTGCACCCCCGCCATGGTGACGCCCACATCACAACGGGCCGTGCAGCAGAAATCGTAATATTTTAATTTCGCCATAACTTCAAAACCAAACGTACAATTTTAATCATTCAAAGATCAAATATTATCATCATAAAATGTACTTAGTAATAAAATAATTAATTTTGATAAGGATTAATAGCATGAGTAAAATAAAAGTATTTAAATGTAGTCCAAAGAAAAATCAAGATTTTTAAATAATAAAATGCTTGTTGTGCCTTACTCTACATAGATAGGTATAGTGTGTCGCGGACTTTTTTGTAGACAAATGTAAGATCTACAATCAATTAGAACATTTTATGGTTCTATTTATTATAGTTTAGGCAGCGTACGCAAAATAAGTAACTTTTCTGGTTGATTTTTACACCTTGTGTCCGAAAAAACCAAATTATTTACGGAACACTATTTTTTCCAAAATAAAATGTAACCTATGTTACTCGTGGAAAATGTAGCTTTCGAATGGTGAAAGAATTTTTAAAATCAGTCCAGTCGTTTTTGAGCCTATTCATTACAATTAAACAAACAAACATACAAACAAAGTTTTCCTCTTTACAATATTAGTACAGATTTATTGGTCAATAATAGTAGTAAATCGGACAGATTTTTTTTACAGATTTATTTTGCAAAAAATACTTCTATAATATTTAAACTACATATTTATGTTTCGAATATTATTGTTTTAACAATCATTTACTTGAATGGAACATATTTCACGGAAACATAATTAGTTATTTTAGGACCTTATTTTTATTTAACAAACTCATCAAACAATATAACTATTTAAAAAAAAATGTTCTATGTATTCTTCCACGATATGTTATTTCAACGAAAAATATAAAAATAGACATTGACATATATTTTTATACGGAAAACCGTTGAAATATTCATAAAAACTTAAGTCAAGATGGCCAATAAAATACATCAAGTATAACTACCAGAAATGAACCGTCAAACAGAATGGAAGCTTAGTTTAGAACTGCAACACTAAAAGAAAAGAATTGCTACGATCAGCGAGACCAATTTTTGATATAAAACAAGCATCATCGTGTTTTATCCCTCTCTACTGAATTTAAAAATAAAGAATTAGAGTAGGATACGAGATGAAACAGTCCATCATATACCGAAACAAGATTTTAAGAGTGCAGCAGGACGATTCTGTAAAAATCCGGACCCAAATTCGAATTCACTCATATCTCCGAATTCATGTAATTTAGTGAAGGAATTCTATTGATTCCATTTTTTGTATAAAAATACAAAACAAAATTGATTGATTTTACGCGTCTCAGATATTCTTTCCGTATATCATTTCGAAGCTCACTTCACTTATGCCACAAAACGTTATTCAAGGTTGAACGGATGCCACCTTTTGTAGTGATTCGGACACTTCAGTGGATTCGAATTCTAGTTTGGATTTTTAAAATTGCAGGGCAGGCCGCTTCTCTCGATATGCTATATTTATTCAGTTGTATCTACATATACATTTTAATCTTATGAACTACACCCATTGTTAGACTGCATGAAATATAATATTTGTTTTGAGTAACGGAGTTTTATCTTTACTGATAATATTTAAGCAACCAAATGCGAGTTGAATTCGCGCACGAAGGGTTCCGGAAACGAGCAAAAAAATCACGTTCGTTGTATGGAAGTCCCTTTTAAATATTTGTTTAACTTTAATTTACTTATTTATTTATAGAGTTACTATATAAATACATATTCTGTAAAGATTTTAAGAGTCAACCTGTAGTCATTATCAATATTGAGCAAAAAAATTACGTTTGTTGTAAGAGAGGTTCCTTAAATGTTTATTTTCTTCTCGTTTTTAGTATTTGTTTTTGAAGCGGCAACGAAAATACATCTTTTGTGAAAATTTCAACTGTCTAACGTTCACGGTTGATGATACAGCCTGGTGACAGACAGACAGACAGCTAAATCTTAATAATAGGGTTTCCGTTTTACCCTTTGAGTGCGGAACCCTAAGAAAGAAGGTTTTATGTACCTAATGGAAAAGCTCAAAAACTACTAGATAGAATTTAAATATTAATATAAGACTAAACATAAAACAAGTCCGCATTAGGCCAGTGTGGAGGGTCATGGTCCATCCTACTTAACAATCCATAAGGAAGGCCTGAACTCCTGCAGTGGGGACGTACAAAGGGCTGATGATGATAATGATACATTAAACTATGTTTTATAAGGCGATGTGAAGGTCGTGGGTGTCAGCTACTATCATATTAGGCAATAAAACAGCTTAATGTTGCGTCTGCCCGCACCAAACTTTGAAGCTTGGTTTGGTTTGCTTATTGATAAGCCATCATAAATTCAAACGTATGAAACAGAATGTTTGACTCAGTCTGTGTAAGTTTGTTAGCGCTTATAGTTGATCGGATCGATGTGGCAAAACCCACACAAATCGAAAGGAATTTCGAGAAGCTCGATGACACAATCTATGATACAGTTGTTACACTGATACACTAGAAAGACGGGAAAAAGAGCTTACCTAGAAAGATGGCAAGGGGTCATTTAACCTAACATATAAAAAATAATACTTTAATTTAATAAAAAAGCGAGAAGCCATTCAAAATTATTTTCGATGTACAATAATAAAGTTTTTAATGACCCACACTGGTTATATAGCTTCGACTGATTGAAATGTCTACAAAGTGGTCTTTGCAGGCATCACATAAGGTACCTCTGGCGTATAATTTTTTTTTAAGTCCATTCAATATAATTAACCAGTTTCACAGCCAAGCGATCGCTGAGCTTCAGGTTCAGTGCATGAATTAATGTGATGCCGAATAATTTGTCCAGAAGGTCAAAAACTTGATTTGCCTTTGTATATAAGGAGTTGGACCACACTGTTAAGTCAAAATGTTGTTCCGTGATCGTCGTTCTACCTAATCGATAGTTTTCAAAGCTTTTCTATAGTATTCCATTAGAAACCAATTACCCGTAGCTAGTACGGTACGAGCACCATGCAATACGGCATAGTTTCCTTTGCGTTGATTTTGACGTTTCTCTGTAAAAAGCGGAAAAGTAAATAAATAATACACATAACATTGTCACATTATCTTTAGTACTAGGTATCGGTATCGATATATATTTACATAAGAAGACAAACACTTACCCAAGGGAATGGTCAGTCGCTGGCGGAAATCTAGTAGATAATAAATATGTCGTTATAAAGGAATATAAACATACTCAACGAAAAGCTTTTGAAGCTATAGCTAAAGTTATAGCGAGAGAGTAGGCGGTCGAATATAATCCGTTTATCGGATAAATTTACAGAATAATACGAGTACCATTGCAGTACCAAACGACGATTTCTTGAACTTATTATTTTAGTTACTTACACTAACTAATATACTTTTTATCCGTCACGCCCTTTCATATCAATGTAGAACTATATAACTTAATATAGTAAGATATATCTAAACCATACGTTTAGATATATCTAAACCATACGTTTAGATATATCTTATTACCGGCTGATAATTAGTACTAATGTTCTCAGTACGGGTTAGGCCTTCCCCAAGAATAGAATCGAACCGACTAGGGAAAACTGGCCATGACCGACCATGCAGACTGAGTGCAAGTATTAACGATTTTCGAAGCACGGAGGAGATCGACATAATAAATATTTGGTCACCCATCCTATGGCCGGCCATTACGGAAGTGGCTTAACAACCGTATCGCAGACTTAGCGCGTTAGCCAATGCACCATCAAGCTCCTCACAGTATATCTGTCTTTATCTAACTTTTGTATTATGTATTTGAGATGCAAATATCTTCTTATGCTTTTTACGTTACAATGGTTACTATGGTGAAATTTAAATTTCCTATACGACCAATTAAAAAAATCACTAGATTTCGTTTATTCCTTTATCAGATTCCAAATATGTTTGAGAGAAACTTAAAACAGGAAAGAATACGCCTTACAGAAGTTTCTTTAATGAAAATCAGAAAGCTTCGCTGAATTTGTTTTCAGCAAAGCCGCTTTTATTTCGACTTTTATTACATGACAGACAGACACACAACAAATTTCTGGTATATGATCATATTAGTCCGTCAGTCAAATAATACAAAAATATTATATACAATATTTTTTGGCATCAATTTTACGAGAAACGGCTTAGATATAGGGCATTAAAGTCGAGGAATAATAATAAAAATAATGCTAAAAAAACATTAGCTTTATACATTAACTTATAAATTAATTTACCCTAAAACAAACAGTATGTTTATAGCTTGAAATTGAAAAAAAAGAAACAAGTTTTAGGGGTAACTATGTGTTTTTTTCTATCGAGATAAAATACTTGTTTTGGCTGTGACATAACCCTTCTAAATTCGATACAAATTTCTTGTTTTGTTTTTGTTTATAGAAAGCACTTTTAAAATTAGTGTATTATTTATTTACGTAAATGAGCAAGAGTGAAGTTAGTATTCTTATATTAATTAAATAATCGTTGAAAATATTCCTGTGAAAATTGTTAAACGATGTACATCATTCTTAAGGGTCTGAATTTCAAAACAAAAGGAACGAATGATAAGGAATAATGATAATCCAATAACGCCATAACATTAGAAGTCGTATCCTATGATTAGAGAATTGTTGCACCCTTGGTCTCTTTTCCTCATAGATGCGTGGTTGTGTTAATTTGAAATTAATATCAAATAACAAACCGTAGAGTAGTAAATTTGACAGATTGTGAAAGATATTTCTGTTTTTTCAGTGTTAGCAACGATATACACGTCAGGGTTCGGCATAACAGCCGGTGTACACAGACTGTGGTCACATCGAGCGTACCGCGCGAAGCTGCCGCTACGGATACTCCTCGCCTTCCTATTTACAATAACTGGACAGGTATTTTCAATCACACATTATTATTAAAAATAATATAAAAGCTAAAACTGACTTCAAAATAGTAAAACAATTATTCATAATCCTTGATACCTGGATATAGGCCTCTTCATTCACATGCCACTTCTTTTTATTCTGAAGTTTGTGCCTCCAGATTTCCCCCACAAACTCGTAATGTCATCTGCACATCTTACTAGTTGTCAAAGGACACTTATTTTATTAATAACTTCTAGAAACTTATTTTGAATTCAGACGAAGATAAGCTAAATCTATAAAGAAAAGCCATATTTTTTACCGATATTTTGAAGTCGGTTTTGGTTTCTAATTAAGAATATTTTTATTTCAATATATTGGTGATAAATGAGCTAATTAATTGTGACGGATATAGTCATAAAATATTTGGGTAATTCGTATTTCTGTAATAATTACCCAAAGTCATACAGCACTAATAATATAGTAAAATGAAACAATGTTTTAATACATGTCAGAATTTAGCTATGTTGATAAAAAAATATGTAGCTTAATAATACTATAGACAACGGAAATTTAAGATTGTAAAAAATAGTAAGTTTAATTAAATAATGTACGAACGAGCGTAGGACAGCGAATTTATCAAATTAAAGGAAGAAGATTGGTGAAAAACCATTGAAAAAATATTACTCTATTTTTTTAAAGGGTTTTTTAACTTGGTACTTTCTTTATATTTATATATGTTCTTTAATATATAATTGAATTTCTATTTTTACATAATAGACTCGATAAATACCCACTCAATGTTAACATACGCCAACACCAAAAACAATAAAACCCAGTTTGTTTACGGCATGAAGAAAAATAATGGTAATAGTGGCATTCTCGTGAGATAAAATAATCGACATTTGATTTACTCTTTATATTAAAATGTTTCTGATAGGGCAAAATGCAATAAAGTAAGTTTTTAAGATTAGATTCCACTGTGGCGATTGTATTTCATCAATAAGCATGTCCTCGTAACACAATGCAGTATAAATAAAAAGATATAACTACAAAGAATCGTAATAATGGAATATAATAATAAAACACACAAAGTTATTTCAAATAATCGAACCTTTGCAATAAATTATAAAATTAGTTATCTAATCACCATTGTTTGCATGAGATGCGGTATAGAGTTGTAATATTTCAGTATGGAGTCTGTTTGTGTAGGATCGTTTCGTGGTCTGACTGTCCGACTAATTGTGCTTAATAATAATCAATCTATTTGCTCTGAAACTACTGATCGAATTATGCTGAAATTTGATCCTATCATCATGAGACTCTGGTAACTTAGTTCTAATTGTGGAGATGGGTGGCGCAATGAAAAACTGGTAGAATCCTTCAGTCTTGATTTATTTGCGAAAAACATACATAGAATCATTTACAACGAAATACTTAGATACTCACTCTATGCTGGTCTCGATCAGAAAGAATGATTGACAACCAGCAAAACACAAACACGTGAATTCGAATACGAAAAAGTAATAATTTAAAATATTAACGGCCAGCATTGACCATAAACCGTCCGAAGAGTAAACCTGCCTATAGTAATGTGCTCGGACGTTACACTTACATGTCCTACCTGATTCGTGCACAAGCCTTTCTTATGGATATAATTAATTTGAATCATATTGGGAGAACTAAATAGCGACCCCCTGAATCATGTACTTACTATCTTAAGTTTTATCTTAAAATCGAATTTAGACAAGCAAAGCTATTTCACGAATTTAAATCGAAGAAAATGTTTAATCGAATATACAAAACGTAAAAAACATATCATTGTAAAGGAACATAAAATGACGATTTGCTACGTTTCGTTTCATCTACTACAGATAAATATTCTTTCGTCATAAGGTTAAACAGTGCAGATTAACGATTACATATTATTACCACATTATTTATTAATTATTTCAACATTTACGAGTCGAGCTATAAAAAGCTTTTCTTTTAATTCATCAATTTTAAAGTAGATTCACAATTATCTCGAGTTTTGACAACTGATATAACCTCAAAATATTATCTAAAAATTACGAATCTCCCTGGCCTCCACATGAAAAGATGCTGAGATATTAGTATATTTTAGGCAAAACTAATTTAAATTATCAGTAATGGTAGGGTAAACACAACCTTTAAAAAAACATGTGACAATAATAATAATAATTTATTTGCGTTTGAATAGGGAATATAAAAGAGATGTAAAAGGTAATAGAATTATCGCCTATTCAGCCATTAACAATAGCATGCAAATGTAGTCAAAGAAGATACTATAAGCACTGATTAATCCACCCAGGCTACCGTTCAGTTTCTATAGTCTAAGAACTCATGCAACGAATAAAAGGAACTCTCAACAAGCCAGTTATATAACTCTCTCTTAAATCTAGTAAAAGGTGTATTCTTTATAGATTCCGGAATCTTATTAAATATTGTTTGACACATACAGTAGCAGTTATTTTTAAATCGCGCGCTTTTTGGGAGTATGTCAAGAACTAGCCTATTTTTATTTCTAGTGTTCCTGGGATACACTTCATGAGCTATTTTGTAATAATCAGGGTATCGTTTGGCAAATTTCTCTGCTTCAAATATATATAAGCAAGGAAGAGGTAGAATACCAAGAAATTTAAACCATTGCTTACATGAGACGTCGGGAGCGATACCACATATGGATCTTATGCATTTTTTTTGGGCAATAAATACCCTTTGCGCATATGTACCATTGCCCCAAATAATAATTGCATAACGTAAAATTGACTTCACATAAGCGAAGTATGCTGTGAGAGCCGTACTTCTTGTCGCTACTCTCGATAATTTAAATAATGCAAATGAGAAACTATTTATCCTATTACGAACGATTTCTGCATGTTGTTTCCAATCTAGTTTCTTGTCAATAGTTATGCCTAAGAATCTAACGTTATCAGCTTCATCAAGCGTGCATTTTTGGTATTTAATAATCAAGTTATTAGATATTAAATTATTAAAATTCATAACATATGTCTTATCTATATTTATTATCAGATTATGGAATTTAAGCCAGTTTATTATGGTCATTATTGTATTATTTATGTCTTTTCATGGTCAGAAAATTTCATATTATGATTGGTCGTCACTACCACTGATATATCATCAGCAAATAAAATATTTTTATGTGTAGTTACATTTGGTAGGTCGTTAATATACACCAAAAATAAAAGAGGTCCAAGAACACTGCCTTGTGGAACTCCAATGTTTTTTACTTTTAACTAAATCTAATTTAGTTATTTCAACAGATTGCATTCTATTTTGTAAATATGTTTTAACCCAATTTAAAGCTGTACCTCTGATACCATTGTTATATAATTTTTTTAAATAGTTGTTCATGAGAAACGAAATCGAATGCCTTTGACATATCAAAGAAAAGAGCTGTTGTATATTTGCTTTTGTTAATACTTTGTAATATTTCGTTAATTAAGTCAAAGGCGGCAAGTGTAGTCGACTTATTTTTTTGAAAACCATGTTGATTATTTTTTAGCACATTATATTTATTAAAAAACAATGTTAATTTGGTGTGTATAACTTTTTCCTATATCTTTGATTAAATTGGTATCAGTATAATGAGCCGATAATTTTTTAAAATAGTTTTATTGCCTTTCTTATATAAAGGTTTGACAATAGAGTGTTTTAATTTATTAGGAAATATTCCCGTTTCCATTGATAAATTTATAAAAATGATAAAATAGGGCTAATTTGTTCTTTGCATATTTTTATCACATATGTACATATATTATCATAGCCTTCAGATTTTGTATTATTTAATGTCATTATAATTTTTTCAACATAGCATTCGTCAATGTGAGTAAAAAAGATTGAATTATTTAATATGTCATTTGAGTATTTAATTGTATTATTAATGTCATAATTATTATTATCAAAATTATCGGTTAAATTCATAAAATATTTATTAAAAATGTCTGAAATATTTGAAGGATCATTAATAATATTACCATTAAATCCAATTTTGTCAATATAATTATTATGATGTGTCATATCAATTTCAGTTTGTATAACTTTCCATGTGGCTTTTGATATATTTTTACTTTTTAATACAAACTTCTTATTCGTATTTTTTTTAGCTAAGAAAACGCATTTTTTCAATGATCTAGAATATTCGTGATATTTGTGTTTATTGTAATAGTTCTTTTTTTTTATAATAATTATGTCTTAGTTTTCTATTTATCTGACAACTTTTCTTGATTCCTTTTGAAATCCATCGCAGATTAGAACTTGTACTAATTTTTAATTTTACAATAGGATAGCAAAACCGGTAAAGCAAACAGAACCAATCATAAAATATATTAAATGCTATATTGGGATCTGTATTGCTATCCAGGAAAGATAGACTAGGTAAATGATTTTTAAATTTTATAACATTTTCATTCAAATAACATCTTTTAAATATATAAATTGATGTTGGTATAATCTGTTTTAACTTAGTATTAAGACTCAAAATCTGTGCTGTGTTGTGATCAGATAAGTAAAGTGGAAGTAGGAATCCCAATGCACCCCTTACGTTACTGATTATATGATCTAAGTATGACTCTCCTCTAGTGGGATCAGTTATATGCTGTTTTAAATTATATTTTTTTAGGATGTCTTTAAACTGTTTAATAACTTTACCATTTTCAATTGTGTTGATGTTAATATCTCCTGTTATTATTATTCTCTGTTTTTTGAATTTATGTAAATAGGTATTCAGTAACAGTTCCAATCTATCAAAAAATATTCGAAGTGTCCTTTTTTGTCGCAGTTAATGATCTGTATACACAAACAATTAGTAGGTTATATATAGGTATACTTATTAAACATGCCTCAAAATAAAATGAAAGTTATTCCTCTCTTCACCATAATACAGGAACCACCCCTACTTTTGTTCCTAGAATAATGTGATGCCAATTCATAATTATTGATGTTTATATTTTTTTCTTCCCCGTTTTTTACAAAAGTCTCGGTGAAGCATAGTATATCAGGACATAATTTATAATTAATCTTCCATAATGTAATTTCCATGATTTCTTTTTTGGATAGTAATCCCTGGATATTTTGATAAAAAAAAACTATAAATTTATTGGGTGATTCGGGCTCGAAAAACTCTGGCTTTTTTATTGATTTGCTGGCCGTTTCCTTTATCTTAAAATAATATGGTATTGTGCCTTTTTTATATACTATGGAATTACACCTTTCCTTCTGTCTTGTAGCCTGTGAATTTTGTTTGCTTATACATATTAATTTATATTTTATAAATTCATTTGTTGATTTCATAAAATTTTTAATATACTCGCTTTCATATCTTCAAAAATCTTTTCTATATTTATTTTATTTTGATATTCATAGTCAATCAATCAATGTATGGAAAGTGGGCATGATTGGCTATTTCATGCGATAAAGACACTTATATTATAACATAAACAAATACGACACTTTTTGTCACAAAAATTAAAAAATCATGCAGAAATATGCCGTTGCGTTTTCACTCTTGAAAAAGCTGATTTCTATGAAATTTGGTATGAATGAAAATAATAAGAAAACATGTATGAAAAATTTCTCATTTCCTAATTAAAAAAAACTAAAATAAATATTTATAAGTTAGTAATATGTAAAAAAAAACTTCTGATTTTTACATTTAATCGTATAGAAAAGTATCTTATATCAATTCATGGGGTTATTTAAAAAAAAGCAAGAAATAATTTTGTCACCTTAAATAAAGGTTCTAATTGAATTTTAAATGCTAGACATGACGTTTATCAACATTTATCAGCTGAGTCAGCAAGTAGGTTATAATAATAAAGGTCGCGTGATCGCGCTTCGTGTCGAACACAACACTCCGTCTTGTCACTTCAATAATTTAGTATCCACAGGCGCTAATGTACCGTGTATATAGAATTTTAATGGTCTTCCTTGTTACTTATCATAACTTACAGTAGTTCTAATAGCAGCAATTTAATTTCTATTGTGTACATTGTAGCTAAAAAACTAAAACAAACTTAAAAAATCGATAATATCTATACTAATAAGGTAAAGTTTTTAATCTTGTCGATTCGTTTATAGAGCGTAATATTCGGAATTATGATCTAATTATTAAAATTCTTTCATCTACGGGAAGCTACGGGAAGAAACTAATCACAAAAATAATTTACTTTGTAGAAGCTATAATTAAAAATAATTACCTACATCATATGTATTTTAAGGGTTCTATATCATGAATGATATTTTTTTGTATGACGAGTCTTTTTTAAGAAAGGGTAAGGGGTAGATATATTCACTAGCTGGTAGATACCTGGCTGGTGATACATAGAGTGTGCGTAGCGTAAAGTGCTCACAGCGAGTAGGTAGTTTCTTAATTTTTCTATGTGTTCTTTTCTTGATTTTTTTTTTGAGACAACGCCTATCCCTTTATTACCTGAAGGTCTACTCTGTTACCCTGAAAAGCAATATCGTCTATTTTCGAAATGCTAATACGGTGCTAAAGAAAATCAGTTTGCTATAATTTATGATTCAACGAAGGTAGATCCTGCCATTGCCTTTAATACTCAGCATTTTTTTTTTTAATTAAAAATATGATTTTAACAAAATTACTTGAAATTTCGCTCATGGGCAAAAGACCCTCGGTTTGGACACAGACGCAACACCCGAATGTCCTTACTTTACCAATCTGAATAACATTTCTTTAAACAGAAAGCATGGAAGTGGAAGTTGCACTAATATATTAGATCCCTAAGCAAACTAAAACAGATATATATCCAATAATGCCATCGATCGGAATAAGTAGTCTTATCACGATAACGGAGTGCCGCAGAGTTGAGTAACATATTGTCGAAATAGGACAGTCAACAGCATATCCGGTAATCCAAACAAAACTTTAGATAAATAGACACTTATTGGAGGAGGGCCAAAAAATACTTAATATTAAATTTTATCTATCTTGCATTCACAGTGCTATATTGGGTAATTAAAAATGCTTGAAAATCTTCCAGCCCCAGATGCCCAGAGTTGCAGATTGACAATCAGACAGCCAGTCAAACAGACAACCGATTTATCCTATGAAGGTTCCGTTTTTCCTTTTTCAACCCTAAAAAAATTAACAAAATATCACATTAATGGAAGCCATAAAACCGTCGATTGTGTATGAAAAAAGTAATGAAAGTGTAGCAGGTGAAAGATGAATGTAAGTTAAATCTGTGCTTTGAGGCGTTAGGTCCTCTCTGTTAAGGAAATCTTTCGCAAGGGATCCAACGTAACCAATAATAGCCTGATAATAACCAATAAAATAAATTTCTTCCACAAATTTTAAGCCTGAAATGTATTGAAATTAAAGTTTAAAATCTATTGCCAAATATATCCTCCATTTTGTGGTAATCTAATATGCCATTCATTGTACCAACAATATTTAAATCATTTTCCCTATGTTACTAAAATTGCTACTGAAGAAAATCATGATTTTGATCACGTAAGTTAAGAAATATATAAAGGACGGTGTAACATCACAGCAGCTGTTCAGAATAAAATACTGCGAGAATAACAAAGCACTTTCGGCATTTGATCTTTTAATGAATAAACCTTTAAATGCATAGGTTATTGGAATGAATAAAATAACATCTGCGACGTATCTACAGCAGATTTTAAACGACAATATATATATCTATATTGTCGTTTAACAAACTTCTATTGTATTAGTGGAATCGGTCGCCAACTCATAGCGATCGTAAGGTAACGATTATTGAGCGTATATTATCATTTTTAGGCAAGTCCCGAGTGCAACTGTCATTCGTTACTCTTTAGTTTTCTAGCGACAACTCGGTGATTGACCTTTGCGATTGCTATTTGACATCGCTGTTAATATCAGGAGTGCACGCCCAGATTTATAATATTAAATTTTTGAATTGCCAAATTGAGAAAATGAAACAATGAATTGTTTAATTTCAGCGTGATATATACACCTGGGCTCTGGATCACCGGGTACACCACAAGTATTCAGAGACGGTTGCCGATCCTCATGACGTCCGACGAGGCTTTTGGTTCGCGCACGTCGGTTGGCTAGTGCTGACGCCGCACCCCGCTGTGGAAAATCGCCGCGCTGCATTAAGACTCACTGCCACAGATCTCATCGCTGATCCAGTCGTCAGGATACAGAAGTTGTAAGACTCTTTTACGGTAGAATCGTTTGAGTATAATAAAATAAATACAATCATCACATAAATTCGAGATATAGGAATCGAACATTTTACACTCAACTGAGTGTATCTATCACTAGAAAGTACAGATTTCAGTGTTACCACTAAATATTCATTAACTGTATCTTAATTACAAAATTTAACGAAACAAGTTTTGAAAAACAATTCTATAGGCACTCTTAGAATAGTTACTTAATTGGATAAGGATTCACTTGATTCATTATTTTTTAATAGATCTAAAAATATATTGATGATTATATTTCCGGCTTACATATCTTCAGATTGAGTAATTACAATTTAAACAAAGTTTATCTATCTGCGCGTATTTGGCAATCTGAATCAACAACAGGTGTTTTATCAGGAAAAGTGTTATAGACAACCTTGGACAATTTTAATGAATTATATCGGTCAACTGTATCGCTTATCTTTGGAAAACTAATAATCGGTATCAATCGGTTTGTAATATATAAAATAATGGGAATAGGATTATCATGAGTTAGAGCTCTACATCAAAACTTACTAGTATTAGCTCTAAATATATCTTTATAGAGCTACTTCATTGACAGCATTAGCATACTTTTACGATATTCAATATAGTATAATTTTATAGTATTTTAATTATTTCTGGCTAATAGTAAGAATTTTCGATAAACGATTCTTGGAAAGATGATATTGCTCAATATTTCGTAAGGATGGTGTAATTGCGTAAGGCTTGGTAATAAATAAGGAATCTGGTTTTCATCATAAATTTAATATGTAATTGTCTCTTACTTATATGAAATTCTGAATATGTGTTACAAATATTAAGGAGCATTCAACGTAACTAGAGAAGACTTACATTTGACTGTAAAGAAATAGAGTCCGCTATCGTATGTCTTTCGGTTGGATTGCCTGAACATTGATGAAAATACGCTCTGTAGTAGCAAAAAAGTAACAAGTGCTTGAAAGATTAGCCAGTCCTGTTATATTCTGGGTAGTTTAGTAGTTAGAGCAGTTTGCGAAAGATCATGAATACTTATCTGGACTTTATATACTTATGACAGTACCTTCGTGTCCACTAAGATGTCCAATAAAGAAGTATGAGTGAACGATGATGACGGAGAACATATCTCTGAGCCCATCCTTATAATTACACTTTGCTGCTTGGGGTCACGGAAAAAATCCCATAGAATCTCGTTGCTAACCAGGATATACGTAGTATATTTTACTTCATCAAAAACACATTTATTCTAAATTATTTATTAATTTGTTTTCAGAACTTTCATACCACTGTTTGCGCTCTTGAACATAGTGGTACCTACAGCAGTCCCCTGGTATTGTTGGCAGGAGACCCTATTCAATAGTTTTGTGCTCAGTTTCGTCACACGATTCACCATCACCTTAAATATCGCTTACTGTGTCAACAGCTTCGCACATCTCTGGGGCAATAAGCCCTATGATAGGTAAGTATATTAACCTACTTCCTGATACAAAAGAAAAAGCGCTGTAAGACTAAAGTTACGAGTATTTTCTGTTAGTTCCAAGATCCAAAAAGTACTTGTATTATTTAAATCTAAAACAACGAAGGTAACAAACACCAAGACTCAAGACACTGTATAAAAGTTCATTTTCCACATCAGCTCGACCGGAAATTGTATTGACATGGCGTCGCTTTGAAACCGAAGTTCGAGTCACTCGACAAACTTCTTGCGTCAAAATCTGTAAAAAAATTGTATTTCATGACCAAATCTATATTTCTCAGTTGGAGATTGCTTAAACTTACAATTATTAATAAGAAGAAACGCTTGTTGATGAGCGGTAAGTATTGTTAAACTATTTTAATTTCTGAGAAAAATATAATACTTGCAGACATACCCTCCAATTTAGTCACTTCAAGGATTATGAAAGCAACCTTAAATGAGACCCTTAAACTTAAATCTTGGTTAATTTATTGCAAGCACGTTTTGTATCTGAATGTCTGAACGAGAAATGTAGATATCAATCTCAATGTTAACAGACAGCTCAGGGAATAATGAATGGATTAAAATGAATGTATGGTTTCTGATTTAAACAGTTAAGCTCAAAAGATTTAGTATCAACAAAGATTTGGAAAAACGTATCAGATAGTACTGTTTCAGCATTTAATATTATGAATATTACACAATATAATATAAATGAATACTTGAATATATAAATCCTTTTCTTACATGTTTCTTTTTTTTTAATCTGGTAATTCTTTTAAACTGGAAATTTACTTAAGCGTTAACAAAATACCTAATGCTACTGTTCGATAAATTCTCACATACAGTTGGGAGTTTGAGTGTTGATCATTAAATTTTTCAGACCCCTCCGCTAATTATTACAAAGATATTTTTTTCTTTATAAATATTGTTCTTCTGTTGTGGCAGATTTATCAGATCTGTGGAGAACCAAGCGGTGAGCTTGGCAGCCTTAGGTGAGGGCTGGCACAACTATCATCATGTGTTCCCATGGGACTATCGCACCTCCGAACTGGGAAGGATCAACATCTCTACTAATTTCATCGATACCTTCGCGAAAATCGGCTGGGCATATGACCGTAAGCGTTTACTCATAACAAATTTTATAATAAATAGGCACTTTCACAAAACTTCTAAATAAGTACCTACTAAAAAAGCTTGGCCATAGCTTAGTTTTATATTAGAAGTATAAAATTAAGTAACATAACTTATTTATTGTTTTCATGGAGTGTTTAATTGATATGACAACTTAATATTGTGTAATTAAGAACAAAGTTCGATACAATTTGAATATACTATTATATTTATTTATTTATTCTTTATTGCCTAACTAAGGACAAATGACGGACTTAATGTGATAGAGGCATTCTCTCCCAGTCAACCAGTTAGATTGTACAGAACAGTAGTAGGCGGTAAAGATTAAAAACCGTACATAAAATCGTAACTATAAGAATTAGCATATATACATACAATACATATACGCATATATACATAATATTAATATACATACATTATATATACATATACATTATAAGATATAACGAGTACTGAAATGATGGTGTCTGATTATGAAGTAGAAGTAGACAGGAATTATGAAATAGAAGTTATAATGTTCCATGTAAGTAGAAATTGGCATTACATTATATATGATATTTTTAATGGTATTATAACTTTTTCATCATCACCATCATCATCAGCCCTTTTACGTCCCCACTGCAGGGGCTCAGGCCTTCCTTATGGATAGTTAAGGAGGATGGGCCATGACCCTCCACGCTGGCCCAATGTGGATTGGAGGGTATTAACGACTGCAAATGCAGTCGGGACCGGCTTAACGTGCCTTCCGAAGCACGGAGTAGCTCGAGATAATAATTTTTTGGTCACCCATCCCGTGACCGACCCTTGCGAAAGTTGCTTAACGACTACGATCACGGGCCGCGGCGCTAATCCACTACGCCACCGAGTTATAACTTTTTATGATCATATAAATAATCATAGAAAAAATTTTAAAGGTATAAAACATTAAAGGTAGTTATTTTCAGTTACATTGAAAACTTATTTTTGATTAATTATTGCCAACATCACATACATTGCTCAGATTCCAAGATGAGTTTAACTACTGTATTATGAGTATCTGAGACAACGAAGGTACCACAACACCCAGACCCGAGACAATATAGAAAAGTTCATTTTTTATATTGATCCGATCGGGAATCGAACCCGGGCCCTCAAAGATGGCGACACATTGAAACCGGCGTGCGAACCACTCGGCTACGGAGGTCGTTTATGAAAAAAATATTCATCGTTTCGATAATATTTTATTGCAGTAAGTTTAACGGCAATAAGTTGCATTTTAACTGTTAACAAAATAATTGCTTACAATATTTTGTAAGCTGAATCGCTATTTAGTATTTCGTTTACGTAAAAAAAATATCTCGATAGAATCTCAACTATTTGCATTTTACCATTGTATTATCTGTGCTGAAGCACAAACTTTTTGATATTAGTTATGTTTTTATAGTGTTTTATGTTTTGTTTTTCTTTTGATAGAAGTCATTGTTTTTATGTATTGTCTTGTCAAATATACCGATTCTCCACGGAACCAGCAGCTTTTAATTATTTCAGAATTCTAAATATTATCTATCTAAAGTCCAATATTATTAGTGCATTAACTTCCTCGCACATAAATGGTGACATAATAATATTATACATATAATAATATTAGATCTCAGATAAATAGTACAATGGATAAACGCAAGTCATTATCAGCTCCGTTACACCCACACTGCATGTGCTAAAGTCCTCCTTACGGATGGTTAAGGAAGATGGGCCACGACCCGCCACGCGGGCCCAAAACAAATTGAACGGTATTAACGACTACAAACGCAGCCGGGACCAACGCGTTAAAGTGCTTTTCGAAGCACGGAGTAGCTCGAAAGAATATTTTTTTAGGTCACCCATCCCGTGAAACCTTTACGAAAATTGCTCGACAACAACGATCGCGGGCCGCGGTGCTTATCCGTTACGCCACCGAGCTACTCAAATGCAAGTAGTTAAATTCTATTGAGATGAAATTACTTCGACCCTATAACCACCACCCAAAATGTATTAATAATTTATATGTATTCTGATTGTTTTGTTGAATGGAAATTGTATTTATTAAAAAATTAGATGGTTAAATTATATCATATAATGAGGGCCCCACCGATCGCACACACTATACAAGAGATAGTGTGGAGCAATCGTGGCGACATACGTGAAAAATTACAATAAATGTTTGGCTTGTTTAATATGGGTAAAAAGGGTATAACCATACGGTACAGCCTTCATTGGCATACTAAATGTAAAGGTAAACGTAAGTCGAACAAATGAATTAATGAACAATGTGTAGAATATCAATTATTAATTATAAGGAATTATAATGTAATCAAACAAAAAGAAGAAGAATGTAATAGTAATAGTTATAAATAAGTAAAATAAAGACAAGGATGAAAAGAAAAGTACCCACAGACTAAAGTGATAAACACCTTGGATTAAGAAAACAAAAATACAAAAGAAAAGAAAAAAGACAAATAACGGCCTGATACAGATCGGGGGGTCATAAAAAAAAAGTGTTTCGCTCCTCCACCGTATATGCTCAGGTAAGGATAAGATCTTAAACTGATCTTCCTCGCCAAATTAATAATGTCCCCCGTTGCTGGGGCTCAGACCTTCCCTATGGTTGTAATTGAATCTAAATTAATAGGGAGAATGGGCCACGATCCACCACACAGGCCTAGAGCCGATTGATGGGTATTAACGACTGCAGATGCAGCGACTAAACATGCCTTTAGAAGCACGGAAGAGCTCAATGTAATAAAGTTTCCATCACCCATCATATGACCAGACCCTGCGAAAGTTATAGACTGCGCTGTAGAGCACTCTATTACAGAATATTTTTGTAAGACCTAACAGTGTGTCTTTTGTTTCAGTCAAAGCTGCAAGTACAACGATGATTATCAACAGAGCTAAGAAAACAGGAGATGGTACGTTCGGAGAAACCGAGGAACCGGATCCGAGTCCTTCAGAATACAAACACTTGTAGCTCATACTTCTTAATAACTCAAATTATATAAGTACAAATTCATACGTTTCACATTGTTACTATATTATTAATTCTTTAAAAGCTTATTTTTGTGGGCTTCCTTGTATACTTATCTTTAAAAATCTTAGTGTTTTTTTTTTAAATATAACCACTCTTTACTTTATGATACAAAAAAGCGAAAGAGTCTGCAATTGTCTAAGATTATTCCTTTTTCTCAATACAAACATTCTGATGGCATTTTTTCTCTTTTGATTCACAAATGTTTGTTAACATAACCTGAATATATATTTGCCAGAATATAATGAAATACATTAATGAACTTTGAATTTTCTGTTTAAAATCGTATAAATAAAGAATCGCCGAACTGTAAATAGGTTTACTTTAAATTTCCGTTAACTCTAAGTTATGGAAATGTAATAAACTTACAAAAGATGCAAGAAACGATATGGCTGAGAAATAACAACAGCGAATAAGAAAAAAACACATTTTATTCAGTCTTGCAAAACCATACTCGCTTTTAGTAATACTCAAGACGATAACCCGTAGCTATTGAAATATTTTTATCTATTTAGGGATCTACATAAATATAACCATTCAACCTACTCGTTTAATTTTACTTACAATTTACGTTTATAGAATTTTTTCATAAAATTATATCAAGAAGAAGCAGAATTAGCGTCTTATCGAAAGATTAAAAGGCTAATTTGTAATGCAACATTTTTCGGCACTATTACTGAAATTATCAGATTTCAAGGAAAAAACCATATACCTACACGGTAAATTTTTATAGATACTATTAAGATTGTTTTTTATTAGCAGCTTTATCTTCAAATTTATAGTCAGCTTAAAAATTATCCCAAAAGTAAGATTTTTTACATATGTTATTTGAAACAGTTGCTGCGATTCAAGAAAAATGTTTCAACAAGATATTATTGAATCAGACTCCAACAGTAGTCAGTCAACAATACTCGTATCAACTTCGGTAACGGTTCTTTGGTAAAGTTTTTTCATCAGGCGAATATCCTTGTTATCAACAGTTGAACAGTTATCAACGCTATTTTTGACCGCTAAAAAAACAATAAGTATACATCCTATTAATAGTCCTGCACTGATTGATGCAAATATATAATCATATTATTTGAACCTGTCTCGATTGGGTTTTAAGTACTCCAGCAGTTAAAAACAATAAGCTTTAAACTTGCTTTTAAGAATATTTCAATGAAATTTTATTTCAGCAGCTTGGCAATTACCATACATATTGAAACTATGTGAAATCGCACTCATAAATATATCACAATATTACAGTTCTTACTACAATACTATTTATTTGCATAATTTTAATTTGCATTTTTAATAAATCATGAAGTTTCGTTGTCTTTGATTGTAATTCAGATGTCATTGCTTTCTATCTTTCTCAATATTAAACGTACAATTTAATTATATATGGCATAGTGTGTGATAAATAAATATTTTATAATTTGAGTGTACATTATCTGGTTAAGTAACATAATGAAAATTTATCGCATTTTTAAGTTTCTTTAACAAACGCTATACTTTCTACCAATATTATTTTAACTTGCATCGTATGTGTGTACAGATATGTACAAATGTATTCGCCAAATCTTACAATTCAATTTTAAAGCAGTTATTCTCAACTGATTAAGATAGAATTTTACATATACCTAAGTTTAGTTTAGATGACAAGACATGGACATGGACTAAGATACATAAATTAAATAAATTAAAATTAAATATAATATGGCGGACAGCCCAAGATGGCGACCTAGTTTTATTTTTAGTGTATTTAATGACATGGGTCTCAAATGAAGGAGTTTGTTAAGAAAAATACGAAAATGATAAAACAAGATAACGGACCACCCAAGGAGGCAGTCTAGTTATCTTTCATCAATCTCTTAATATGCGTATCAAATGAAACAGATTAAAGGATTGTAATTATTAAATTGATTTCATTATAAATATCAAACGAAAGGGTTCACAGAGGATATCCAAAATAAACATTCAAGCTATTCTTTAAATTCACATTAAAAGCGTGTGGTTAAGTTTTTGTTTACTTATTTGTCTCCTGAGTTAACCAGGAATTAATTAACGTTATTATTGATAATAGAGATCAATCAAATAAAACCTTTATAATTTTTTGAAATAGGTAGTTTTATACACACATCCCAAGTTAGACAGCATTTATGTTCGTCTTTGTACTTTTAATACTATTGAGGGGAGCAAAAATGTGTGTCTGCGTAATAATTCAGTAAAAATATTTAGTAAACTTTATCCTGAATTGAGGATTGATATATGAACATTTTTGAATTCGTTATTCGTCTGTTTTTTAATAAGAAATAATTAATTGTAGTTACTACATTACATTTTCAATCAAACATGCAGTTTATTACATCTTTAATCAGTTACAACATTTAATGTGATGAAACTAGGTTTAGATAATGATACAAAAAAAAAATCACTTCCAAACGTATTACCTAAAATCTTAATACCTTTTAATAAATGTTGAGGAATATAGCTGAATATAGCAGTTACCATTATATCAATGAGAAATAAATTGATTTCGGAATTTTCATTTCACTGCTGAATAGGCGAACCGGTAGTAATATTTTACTTTGTATACGGGTAATATGTTTTATGCGTACAAATAATATACGGGATCTAGAAGGTAATACACAATAAATATATATTATACAGCGTTTTATTATTTTTAGCATAAGCTTAATTGCTTATTCCTTATTTTCCTATTAATAAAACACGCAATAGCTTTTATATTTGGTGGATTTTGTTCAAGGCAAAAAAAATTAAACGCAGTCGATTTTCAACTCTAAGTATTGTCATTTAAAATTAATAAGATGAATTGAAAATTTTGTATAAGCTGATTTGATATGAACCTAATGATTTATAACCTCATTCTAAGACAAAGATGTGGTTTCTGTAAGTCCTAAGCAGAAACCAAAAATACAATGAAATTTATAAAAGTGAGAAAGAATAGTTATTTAAAACGTTATTATATTCAATAAACTTCGGCGGGTGGACTTATGGCCATTGACTCTGTCTGTATGTAGCAGTCTTCAGGTACATACAAAAAATATTACATTTTAAATATCAAAAGTGATTTTCTACACAATTTCAGTGTCCAAATATAACGTTGGCCACGCAGTTTTTTAATAAATCTTTTGACAATTCAGAGTGGGAAGCGCAAACTCGAAATCATTCCATTTTTTTAATTATATAAGATATGAATTTTGTATACGCTGGCTAAGGCATAACATGTAACAATTTTATTTTAATAAATTTACAATGAATTTGTATAACGATAAAAATATTAAAGTGACATTTGTAATAAAGCTACATATTAATTTCATATACTTTCACGCGCACTAGCCATAAATTAAACAACTTTTAAACGGTATCATTCTAAATTGATACGCAAGGCTATTCAAATTAAAATAATTTAATTTAATAAATGTAAAGGCAGCCATAAAATATTATTTTTTGTGTTGTGAAAGTGTCTCATAATATTGGTTTTTGAAGGTTATTTGATACTAATCTTATATGAACACGGAACCTGTAAAGGGCCCGAAACATTAAATAAAACTAAATAAAAACGCGATTAAACCGTTTTAAAGTTGTTTCATTTATAAAGCTATATTTTAGTAATAAGAATATTAAATCATCAAATATTCAACACGTTTAATTTTATTACAGTATTATCTAAGATAAATATTATATTAAACAATAATTAAAATTTTCACTATTATTATTCTAATTATTTTTACTAATTTATTTGTTATGTTTGAATAAATAAATGTTTTCGTATTAACTTTGAGTTTAATTTTACATTTATTGATATTTTTAATTGATTTAAGGTCAGCTCCAGAAAAAAACGGTGTAAATGTTGTTGATATACAATTTACATTGAACAAAAAAGTTAAGGAAGAAATCTTAAAACGTGTTTTCTTAAATAAGTTATGAATATACCCTGTTTAAAAGGAACACTTAATTGCATCAGACAATAACCGAAACGATAAAGATAATATTAAAATTTAACATTAAAAATGATCTATGCAATTTATAACTTCAGTGCTTTTCAGTTGTTTTTATTTTATTTTATTGAAAACAATCAGTTATTTAAAGGTTCCATACAAATATATTTTTTTAGAACCAAAAAGTCTATAATAATAATCATAATTTATTTTTCCTCACAAATCTTTCACTTAAACAATGTGCTTAGTATAATCATAAACATAGTTTGAAGGAGACAAACATCTAAACTAGGCAATAAATTGCTTGTATTTTAGAATATCAGGGTGGGGGCCTGACAGGCTCTAGACAGTTATTGCACTAAAAAATAAATTTAAGCGTCTTATTTATTATCATCTTGATTGTGTGCGCACGAGTGTGTGTGTGTGTGTGTGTGTGTGTGTGTGTGTGTGTGTGTGTGTGTGTGTGTGTGTTTATATTATTGATCTTTTTTATATTATTTAGTCATAATATTCTCAGTATCATTATATGTATAATTGACTTAAGAGCCATTGTGTTACTATTCTTTTACATTGTAACTTTATTTAAGGATATAGATTAAGGAATTTATTAGCATAATTATACAATCTTTGACCCATTATAAAAAATAATCTCAAAGCAAAGGACGTCCTAAGTTATTCAATCTGAAACACTTTAGGACGTCTTCGGGATATTGTTGAAATTGGTGCATAATCTATAAGTAAATGTTGTTTACGAGACAAAATTGTTTGGGAACCTCTGCTTTAAAGTGCCATAGTGTTAACACAATTATTTGCTATAAGTTTTTTAAATTTAAACTTTCCTATTATCTGTAAATGAATTATTATTTTATTCTCTCCCAGCCAACTTTTGGAGAAAATGACAACACAGAGCAATAAAAAAAGTTGATTCAAAACTTATGTGTCTATAGTGACAATAATACTAAACAAACAACAAACATATTCCGAAATAAATCATACAAATAATACGTCAAAAACCACTTCGTTTGACGTATAAATGCATAAAGTTGTTGTCGCGGTTGAGATAACAGTAAGTGATATTAATAAGGAAGTATTTAAAAAAAAAACGAAAACACTCAAAAAGAACCTCCACTAGATCGCGACTCTAGCAAAAGTTGATTTTTGCAGGAAACGAATGGACCTAAGACAGTCATTTCCGTCCCTTTTAACTAACATATCAAAAAACTGAAATTTGAAAAGTTCGAAATTTAGATATCAATACAAATACAAAAAATTACAATTAGAATACGAGTTGTTTATTTTTAAACACGTAAGAAAACCGGAAGGGTTGTAATGGAGAAATCAAGAACGTACCGAAGCGACATCTAGTTTGATTTCGGGAACTAATGTTTTTTTTTAAATACTTCCTCATTTTAATTTATGTCAATCAGAGCAAATGCCATTACTGACTCTATTTTGACTCTTTAA